CTAATGAAATTAATCAAGTGCATTTTTATATCTGTTAATCATAAGTGAATTTCGAAACAGAGATAGCTTATCCAGTCCAATTCATCTAGTTATATTGCATTTCAGACATTGTTAGCATAAAACAAGTCGATTGTGGTAATTACGTTCTATCAACAGTGGATATGTGATAACCTACAACTACATTATATAATGCTAATTCAGTAAAATTATCTTTGTAATTTCAGATTCTAGCAATTCATTGTTAGAGGGGAAAAAGTTTGTTTCTGATATTTTATTTAAATAGGCTCTTCGGAACCATGAAGCATGGTTTCCAAAAATTATCATATTGTAATTGTTAGCAAGCATTCATCTGATAACTTTAATATTTAGAAGCCACTTGTTGAAAAACATTTACAAATTCAGAAGCTTTGATATTTTAACAAAATCTTAATCCTTAAACCTTAAACCTTTTTTTGAACTAAAGTTTCACTAATATGATATTATGATAATAATATTAGTTTCACTAATCTCATTTACAATTAAGAACTCTTACCTCATCAATTTTTAAATACTCTCTTGAAATCAGTCAAAGGATTTAAGAATATATTAGTGTAGGGCCTCCCCTGGTGGCGTAGCAATTGAGCGCTGGGCTGCGAAGCTGCCCCCAGCCTCTGCAGCACCAGTTCAATCCCCGGCCGCCGGTGAGGGTCCTACATGGCGCAGCAGACCTTTCCTGGCCCGCCCGCTGCTCCCCTCAGCAGTGTATTTTGTCACTCTGTCTGTTCTGTTCCCCGCTCTGGCTTTGGTGAATTCTCTCACCCTCCTGCGCTTCTGACTGTAGCCAGTGCTTGTATAAATAAATAAATAAATCTTTAAAAAAAATTAGTGTATAACTAAGTTATATAAATATCTTGGGCTTATTAAAGATTATCTGGTCATGTCAACAACAGCAAATAACTCTCACTTTTAAGATTCTCCTGCAAAACAACATTAACAATCAACATATCCGTCTTTAAAAACCTCACAACTAAACACACAAACTTTATTTAAACATTGAAATGAAGCCCCTCTCAGCATAGTCACCTTTTAAAAAACTTTTATTGTCCCCCATTAATCACAAAATCATACAATAGTTGTTGTCTGAGAAGTAGCACTTGGAGAATCATGGATGCTATTTGTGCAAAGTTGAAAGTCTGTTAACCACTCAGGCTAGAAAAAAAATAATGTGGAATCCTTTGCCTATATAATTAGCATTGAAGCACTAATGCTTCTAAGAAGTATAGCATTAAAAAAACATGTGCACATTAGCAACTAGTACAATTTTCACTTAACACCACTATAAACAAGTTATATGCACTCTAAACACATACTTAAATAAACAACCCAATTACATTCTAGAATTCTTTTCAAGAATGTCTAATATGGTAAAGAAAAAGACTTATCTTTTTAACGTTGCTTCCTCCTCTGCAAAATGAGGAAAGGTAAGCATACATAAATAAATAAAAATGAATAAATGTATTAATATAGCAGCTTATTTATATAGGCAGTGCTTTGAAGTAGAATCAAAGAAAGAGGTTAAAATTATTCATCAGGGGAATTGGTAATATAGAGGGGACAATAGAATACAGAAATTTTGGAGCATAGATTATAGGGCCCAGATACCTCAAACTATATCCTAACTCCACTGTTCATATGATAAATTCAATTAGTATTCAGCAAATTACTCAAAGTCTACAAATCTTAATGTCTTCATCTATAGAATAGAACTCATAAGAGTGCCCTCCTCTTTGGGATTTTACAAGGTTAAATGAGGTCATGTAAAAGCACCTAGAATAGTACCTGATATGTAGCAAGCACTCAATATATGTTAACCTTTATTATCATGTTTGTCATTGCACTATTTTTTTAAAAATGAGTATTAAGTAGTTGGATAAATTCAATTCTTCTAAATAAAAATGAAAATAATGGGCAGATCCCAAGTCAGCTAGTGTACACCTATATTCAGGCCAAGTCTCAGCTTCTACTCATCAGACCTTAAGCAGCCTCTCAGTGCCAACATATATCACCCTAACCACCAAAAGAACAATCTGGTTACTTGCACCATATCACATTAATATGTAAATTTTATACTTCAGCCAAAAAAAAAAAAAATCACAAACAAGTAGTTCATTCATGACTCATTTATTCATAGCAATCTCAAACGTTCACCAAAAATTGGTTTTTACAATTCTAGTTAAATGCAGTAAACATATTCACATCCAAATCCATTTAGTGGTATCAAAAAGAAAATCAATATAACCTATCTAAGAAGATATGGTTGGTCCACTAAACATGAATTGCTAAATACTGAAGAAAATGCATTATTATTTTGAAAAGAACACTACTAATTTACACAGCAATGACTCCCTTATTCTATGACTGTTTTCATAACTGTGCATAGGTCTTAAAGGAAAACAGCTACATGTAAAAGAGGAAAGTTTCATTTTTTAAAAAACAAAAAATAGGGAAAAATTAAAAATAGGATCTTTATGGCAAATTTCTGGATCATGAAAAGGAAAAGATAAAAGGTTACCTTGGAATATAAGTAGTTTTTTTTCCACCTAGGATGAATCTCTTATCAAAATAGAGAACTCCTTTTTCCCTAAGGTTGGTTTATAATTAGAAATTAGATTTTCAATAATTCAATGACAAAAATCTTTATTAAAGTCAAATGACCTTTCTAATTAAATTTTCTCCTAACATAAGTTCTGTGAGGCAGGTGTCATCTCTATAGATAATAAAGCCTTTATATATTTATTAAATGAATTTTCCTCTTTATGTTCATCCTTCTCTTTGATTTGACATTCTAGCTGCAATTAATTACTGATAAAACTTCAAAACATATAACCAAATATAATGCATTCTGGTAAATTTATTTGTATAACATTTATATCATCCCTATTTTTCCTTCTATCATAATTATTCAAGCTAAAAGATCATACCCTTTTTTTTTTCACTTTCATTTATATGTACAATTTTATTATAGCAACATGAGGTTTTGAGATTCAAAAATACGAAGAGTAAAATTCAGGTAGGTGCACAAAATTGATATTAGGTTCAAAAGCACTTATGAAATGGACTTACAATATAAGCTCACCCAACTAAAAATACGAAAGACGCAAGATAATATGGTAATTGCAATTGAAAGTACTTACAATTTTAATCTTGAACTGTTTGTTTTAAAAAGAAAAGTTGCTAAATGACTATTAAGATATTATGCTAAATAGTTTGGAGTTTGAAAATCCAGAAATAAATTGTCATCAAACTTAACTTTCCTATAGATACCACTTCAAATTCAGTGAATTTCACGAACAATGAATCAAAAAAGATAAAGCCCTTAAGTATGTGACGGCTGTGCATATGTCTAAAATCATAAATTCATCTGTCGATTCACCATAAGTCTATGATGACATAAACAAAGTGCTTTACCATCACATTTCTCATTACTCAAAATAAATGAAAAGACCAAGGCACAGTGATTAAGTGGCTTACTCAAAGAGCTAGGCCAAATGTCACAAATTCACCTTTTATAGGTTTTTTAGCTTTCCTGTTCTTACAAGAAAACGAAAGAATAATATCATTTGAGAAGTAGAGCATTAGCTGAGATAAAAGAATATGCATTTTATGACTATTCACATTCCTAAAGGATATCTGGGAATATCTAAATTTTACACATCACCAAACACAAACACTAACAAAAATAAATAAATAAATAAATAAACCAGAAAAAGGAACAGGAACAGGAACCGTCTGAATCCCAAATTACAAACTAGCCAAAAAAAGTAAAGTACTTTTTTACTTGCCCCCCCCCCTCCTCCGGGCCACTCTCTCTGCTGCTGTACATTTATTTCTATCTGGCTTACTACTAGGAACAGATTTCCGCTTTCATGCTTTCAAATGAGCTTTTCTTAGCAAATGTCTGCACTCCTGAGGCAAGGCCATTAAGGTAACTTAATCCCTCCTGAACTGCTCGGTGGAAAAAAAAAAAATGCTGATTCCCAATTCAAAATTTAATTCTTTAGCTTTTTCTGTATTAAGAGTGACCGAAGAAACCAGTAAGTGTCATTTAGCTTCAGTATGTGATCCTGACTGGCAGGGCAAACAAGAGCTTAGGGAATGGAAAACGATGCTGGGGGAGGGGGCATCGAGAGAGTGCGAGAAAAGATGCTGGTCAATTCCGAGATGATGCAGGAATGACAAGGCACCTGGACACCACAAGCCCGGTCCCCCCACCCCCTCCTCTAGTGTGTGCCTCTGTCTGTCTGACATCTGCCTGGAGCTGTGAATAGGTGCACACGCGAACACACCACCTTTTATTCTTGGACTCCTAGGGAGGAGAATGGTGGGGGAGCGTCGCTGGAGAAAGCTTCGCCACAACAAACGCTTTCTTTCTCCCGGCACCCCGCCTCCCCAGCTAGGGGCAGGCGACGACTGTCTCAAACTGCAGGAGACAGCTGAGAGGAGCCGAGAACCGGGGCGAGAAGGAAAGCATCTCCACGGGAGGTGGGGGGGGGAGCGAAAAGGGTGAGGAGGGGGGGAACCCCAAAGACTAGCTGAGAGGCTCGGAGAGGCTGCCAGGAAAGGGAGGCGGGTGTCGAGGAGCCGGGAAAGCGGAGCGCGGGACAGGCAAGCGCTGGGGCGCGCCAAGCCACCGGGCTCCCCAGAGCCGGCGCTCACCGGGTGGGGAAGTTGATTCTCCAGGCGGACCCTCCCCCGACTCCCAGACCGGAGGACTGAGAGGAAATGGCTTTGTATGGCAGGATGAAAGGCTGACAGGAGAACCACCAGGCTGGGGGGGGGGGTGGGGGGACGGGATGGAGGATGCCCGGAGCGGGAGGACCCCGCCCGCCCCCACGGACAGCGCTGCTCCCCTCCTCTGGGCGCACAGCCCCCGGTTTCCCCCTCAGGCTCGCGCCGCCCGACCACGTTCCAACGGCCAGAGCGGGTCGCCCCCCCACCGCCCCCCGCGCCCGCACACTCACCTGCCCACGAAGTTCTCGAGCACCGAGCTCTTGCCGGCGCTCTGGCCGCCCACCACGGCGATCTGCGGCAGCTCCAGCAGGCAGCTCTGTCCCAGCGCCGAGAAGGCGTCCTGCAGACGGTTCACCAGAGGTATCAGCTCCTCCATCTCCCTGTTCCCCATCCTGCCCGTGCGGCCGGCCGCCGCTAGTTCCTGCTCTCCTGAGCGACCCGACCGTGAACCCGGGCCGCGCAGCCCCGGTCACCAGCGCGACGCTAGGTTCAGTCAAGCAGGTCCAGCGCCGACGTCGGATCCCGCCGCCCGCCAGCCGATCGGCTCTGACAGCTTGCAGCCCGCAGCGCGCCTGCGCGGGCCGGAGGGGGCGTGGCCTGGCTGCGCGACCGCCCCGTCCGGGCCCCGCCCGGCGGCTGCTCCGCCCCGCGGGCTCCCGGCCAGACCTTCCCTAGGCGGCGCGCGCTCGCTGCTTCCCAGCTGCGGTCAGATGCCACCGCCCTCTGTTTCTCGCTGCCGAGCCTAGGCGCAAACTTATAGGCAGCGCTTGGTCAGGGAATGGCATGAGATCAGCAGCAGCCAGTGGCACGGATCCGTTTCAGCGGCTGTGAAACCAAAGTGCAGAGAAAGCGCTACCTCTGGTAACAGTGTGGCACCAGCAGCCTTGGCGGACGCAGCCCCTGCGGCACCATTGCTAGGGCGCCTCCAGAGTACCCTTCCCCAAAGGAAATTTCATGTTTTTACGCCGTATACCGGAACCCCACTTCTTGCAGGGTAGCTGACCTGGTGAAGTCCAAATTCCTCAGTCTTACTCCTTCAACCTTTGTGTGCATAGTCTGACCGCACCTAATTATTCACCTTTAATGACTTTGCCCTCCAGTCACACCTCTAAGCAAAGGCTCACCTCAGTGGCGGCTGGCTGCACCACTCCACTTCCCTCTTCTATACAGGACCACATTCCCCACCCAGCGACTCTTCTTGCCAGTCCTTCCGCCAATCTATCTCCTTCTGTAGGATCTATCAATCACCATGCACTCTACACTCGTTCTGTTAAATTTAGCAAATTGAGAAGTGACACTGTCGGGTCTCATGCCTGGTGATAGAGACATGAAGATTAATGGCCTTGTTTCTCAGACTCCTTAGAAGGTTCCGCTTTTCAAACATCTATACTCGGGTTTCGACTCATGGACAGTTTCTTGTCTTGTGCTTTTACCTTCTGTCGAGGAAGTCCAGTGACTCTAGCGCCACATGGTTAGCAGCTACAGAAATCTAAATTGCTAGCTGGTCTCTTCTTCCTGTGCCTTCGACTGTACTCCAGCTGGACTTGAACCTCACTACCTGAATATCCCACAAGTGCCTCTGACTCGATTTACTCAAAACTGTACTCACCTTTTCTAATGTCACCCTAAGGAACAGTGGTTGTCTTTGAGAGGTGAGAAATGACTGCATGAGACACAAGAGACCTTTGTGGAGAGACAGAAATGTTCTTTATCTTGATTTGGATGTCAGCATCCATCTGCCCAAATTCATCAAACTAAATAGTTCATGCCCAGCATGTCTTTTCTAAGACTCCCCCTCCATTTACCACATGGGCACAGCCTGAGCAGTCATGAAGATAGGGAACATGAAGGAAAACTAACAGAGCTAGGCACAGCCCTGGGAACCAGGATGATCCCTGATCCAAACTATGTCGATGAGAACCCTTTCCCAGGAATGTGGAATTGAGAGAGATATTAGTGGTATAAAATTGGGAAGTATGATTATTAACATTTTAAGCAACAGAAAACAGATGCAAAAGATATCAGTCTTCAGAGAAACAGAAAGAGAAGCAGAGGAAAAAGAGAAAGAAGTCTTAATGATACTGTGTCCTCATTTAAATTCATTTCTGATGAACAGTTACAGTCTTGCCATGAGCCAGTCTCTCCTCATAAACTTATAATAAATTCCCTTCTGAGCCTAACCTAATTCAATTTGTATTTCTTTTAGTTGCAAACAAAGAATCCTCATAGATACAGATTCTGGATTGGGACTGGAAATTTTAACTGACTTCCTCTCTGTCTCCCTCATCCCCCACATCAAGTTGGCTGCCAAATTATGCCCCTTCTAGCTCCCTGGAACCCATCCCTTCATTTTTGCTGCCAGTGCCTCATTTTATAACTCTCATTTGTCAAATATACACCTTCTTTCTATGCTACCCATATATATGTACCCTGAATAGTTTTTCACTGTTGCACTTGACACATGGCATTGAGTCTCTAGCTTCCATATTTCTCTCTCCCACAGTATGGTAGGTAGAATAATGCCCTCCCCAAAGATGTCTACATTCTAATCCCCAGAATCTGTAAATATGTTACTTGACATGAAAAATGGGGCTTTGCACATATGATTACATTAAGGGCTTTGGAATGTCCCCATTATGCTGGATTATGCTGGTTATCTGGATTATCCTGAAGAACAGAGATCCTTTTCTGGCTGTGTCAGAGCAACACATATAGAAGAGTGCTCATAAAAGTGCAGCTCTGCTGGCTTTGAAGCCAAGAAACGCAGGAAGTCTCTAGAAGCTGGAAGAGGCAAGGGAATAGATTCTTCAAAAAGCACCACAGCCCCAAGGAAACTTTGATTTTAGCCCAATGAGCTGTACAGAACTATAATACATTTGTGTTGTTTTAAACAATGAAGTTTACAGTAGCCCTAGAAAACTAATACTATTAATGACAAGATCCTAGAGGCAAGATCTATCTTTGTGATTCTCAATGCCTAGCAAAGACTGACTTAAGGAAACCAAAGTCCACCAGGAACAGAGATAAAGAAATTACAACACAATATAATAAATGCTACAGGGGTGGTATGGACTCAAAGCTATCTCTTCAAGTTTCATATGTTTAAACCTTAACCAAGCCCCCCACTACCCACAGTGTGACTATTTGGAGTAAGAAAGTAATTAAGGTTAAATGAGATCATAGGGGTGCAGCATTGACCAAATAGGATTAGTGTCCTTATTAGAAGCCACAAGAAAAAGCTGTCTCTCTCCCTTTCCCCACCCCCCTCTCTCTCCCAGGACAAGTGGAAAGTAGCTGTCTACAAGCCACAAGACAGTCCCCATCTGGAACTGAATCAGCCAACAACTTAATCCTGGACTTCCCAGCCTCCAGAATTTTGAGAAAGCTAATTTCTATTGTTTAAGCCACCCAGTGTATGGTATTATGCCATGACAGCCCAAGGTAACAAAGACAGGGTTTGTTTAAAGATTCATGGTATGGATATCAGGGAGTAACAATTCCATCTGGAAAGGGTTAGGGAAAGTTGCAGAGAAGAGGTGACTCTTGAGATGGGCTTGATGAGTACATTTTGCATGCCACTCTGCTGTGAGGAACACAAAGGACTCAAAAGCATTAGCCCTTGCTTGAGTTTTTTACATTCTAATGCAGGAGACAATGCTAGTACATATTTTCATAGACTGTATAACCATTATATAAATGTGAAGTTCTTGTGCACTGAAGTAATGCATGTTATCTCTATTCTCCAGAATTAGTTCCTAACAGTACTACCCGCTTATTCTAGAATGACTTGAATAACTCTAGCGAACTGCTTTCCCTCTTCATTTCCCATTTCCAGCACCAGTCCTGCAATCACAAGGAGCCAAGTGAAATCTAACACATACACTAACAGACACATTCAACACCATTTTCTCACAAATTAATCTGAATAAAACAAATAGCAAAGAAAAACAGGACGGGTGGGAAGCAAAGGGGTAATTTTGACCATCAATACTGTTGAGGGTAAGTACAAAGCTGAAAAGGGGAGACCAGTCGGCCATCCCAGCTCCTGACTGTCTCACATGATCCCCTCAACCCTGTGTCAGCACTAGGTAATTGGGGCTGACTCCTGCCCTCTCCCATGCTGGCTTCTATCAGTTTCCTAACTAATGCAAAGATTTGTAAATTTAAGTCTTGTTTGGATAGCTATCTCAGAAGTTAGAACTTTGATAAACAAATTAGAACTCTTAAATCTAAATGAACATTGTTCTTGCGGGTCATTTTGAAAAGTGAGAAATCTATTGCAATGATGAGCAACTACAGACAGCATCAGTAGAACTCCACTTTTGAAATTGATAAACTTTATCTAAATAATCATGCTGAATATTCCACAGTACACATCATGTTCAATGAACAGAATATTATCCAAGTTGACCTCCTATCTCATCATAGGACTTGCTAACAAATAACTTTTGGCTAATTCTAAAAGCTAAATTTGCATAATGTATAGGCACACATATATATAACCATATTAATACATACATTTTTGTAAATATTCTCTAGGCTGAAGACCTATAGGAGTTAGAAAATTTTTGAGTATTGACAATGTTGCTGGAAAAAATATTTAACCTTTCAAAGAACATATAAGTGAATATATGAATTCAGGAATTAAAAATCAGTCATATTATTGCAAAGTCACATCTCAGAGTGCCCTATTTAGTGTTTAATAATTATTTATGAAGCATAACTGAACTGAAACCTTAAGCACTTTTCATGTTGTTCATTTGAGTATCACTGGGTTAATATTACTATTTTGGATAAAATTTAGGACCTATTCAAGTCCTTCAGTTCTTTTTGCAAAGGTTGTCTCTTGGATGTGTTAGCTCACCCTGCAAATCATCTGTCTGCAGGCATCTTTTGGGTTCTGTTAAACACAATGAACATCCAAAAAAGACTTACAGATTCTCTTTCTAGTAAACACATGTCTCTTGGGGGTTTTTTCTTTCAGCTTAAAAGGGTGGTAAAAACTCTCATTTTATTGCCCATATTTTTCATCAGCTGTCATTGGAAAGCAAAATAACTCTGGAAGAGTCACTCCAGTCTCCTACCCCTATCACTTCTGTCAATTTGAGATTGGACAGATGGAAACTCACCAGTAGCCTTAAGGAAGCATAGCTAAACCTTCTCACATGCAGGGCAGAAAATACCAATAGGCAAGCTTAAGGTGTTAAGACAGAGGGTTAGGATGTCTCTACATCACTTAAGTCTTATTTAGCTACCAGTCTGTGTTTCCTTCTATCAAAGAGATATAACTGTATTCTTTTGTGAGTATAGTCCATATATACTGAAGTAGAACTGGAATCACATAGGATCCTTTTAAAGGGAAGATTCCCTAGTGCTTTTAATACCTCATTTATGGAATTCTGAATCTCTCTCTCTCTCTCTCTCTCTCTCTCTCTCTCTCTCTCTCTCTCTCTCTCTCTCTCCCTCTTTCTCTCTGTCTCTCTCTGTCATAATATATACCAGTAATAATATAACATACTTTATAATTGTATGAGGAGAGCTACAAATG